AAATCTAGTGACTCGATCAAATTTTTATTATCCTTTTGCAAAAATGCAAGCGCTGCCTCATATAAAAACCAGTTGTTACCTAATGGAGTGTTTCAGCTTGTTCATGTAAGTTGATGGCTTCACATGGCCAGATTATTGCTGCATCAGCTATTAGCTACTAATAACACGCTCCCTTCTTGCTTTAATGACATACTGTACTCAGAATGCTCAAGTATGGACAGATGCTTAGGAATATCATTTTTTTCCTTCTTGGGTATTGATTGCTTCCCAACACCCACTCCTGATTAGAATGTAAGATGTTTTCTTTTAGACATGGAGTCTTTACTTAGTCTAATCAGAAAAAGATAAACAACACACCAGGAATTTGGAAGGAAATTCTGGAGCATCTTCTGGATGCTTCTTGGACTTATTAAACATTGGCCGTAGTTACTGATGCTCAGTGATAGCCTTTGTCACTCTACTCATCTTCCAAAGCCAATTTATTAGTCAGGAGCATGCAGCTCTGACAAAGGGAAAGTGAAGTGCACTGTACAGTGGTTTTAGCAAAAGTCAAGATGGTGGTTTCCTTAGGGGATTTTGCCAGGTGGTGGTGGCGGGGATTGGTGATGTCACTGCTGGCTGGAGTGGGTACTCTAACTAGCCAAGCTCTCTCTGTAGGACTTGTGATGGCTTCATTCTTAAATGGAGGGTGTGTCTGATGCCACTAGTAGTAACATATTTTTAGTGGAATTGAGGATATAATTGATTTGGTGTTTGCAGATGATGAAAATGATAATTAAGCACCTGAGTTTTAGATAGCTTTATTCTTATATCCTAAAAACCTGAACCCTCAGGGATTGATAGGAAATTTTTTTGTGTGTTTGATGGTACATGGTATGTGTGTTTACTTATTACTAAGAACTGTCTCATAAGTTTAAGTTCTTCTCTGTCTTAAATAAAGTGGATCTTTCAACTCTCTCACTTCCTTAATTACACAATCTGAACCTTTGCTTTTATCTCCCAGGTAACAAGTTACCATCTTGCTCCCCCTAGTGGAATTGTAACTCTACTTCAAAGTTTGAGAATAACTATCACTAGTACATTTGATTTAGCATCTTATTTTTGGAAATCAAGTATTTTCAGTTTGTTTTCAGTGTGAGAGTAAAGACAAAAAAATCTTTAATTGGATGGGATGATAGGGGATATGGGTAGAGAAAGTGATTTTCTCCTGATAAGGTTTCAGTTCCAAGTGTTAGCAAGGTCAGTTGTAAAATTTATAATGGCTGCCAAATTCAAGGGGCCCCTCTGTTCTGCACATCTATCTTAGAGGGGTCAAGCTATCAGCCTGGCAGACAGTCACCTCTAGAAGGCAGCCATCAACACTCCTGGAAGAAGCAGTAGGAGGCTGGTAATTGGTGATGTTGAAAGACAAGGACAGGTCGCATTTGAAAAACAAATTCCACTTGTGCTATTGGTAAATTAGGCCCAGGAAATATCCTTCTGCCTTGAGAATCTAGGTGAGGGACTCTGCTGATATTTGCAGCATATGGTAATCATTTCCAGTTTACAGCTGCTAAGCATGCTAGGAAAATTCTACCAATTGAAGCTGAAATAGCTGCACACCTCTCTTAAGAATTTATATTTCTTTATGGAATGATGATCAATGATTTCATGGTATCTGAATCTCCTTTTTTTTCCCTGCTACTATTTATTTTTCACAGTTTTAAACCCTGTTATGATTTTGTGTTTATTCACTTTTGTAGCCTATTGCACACAAAGCACTCTTGCATTGTATATGCTAGGGCTGAAATGTGTGAAACCTCTAAAAGAAATACCTTCATGTGCCAAGGCTTAGGACTCTGCTCTTGGATAGGTAAGGCTTTGCTTCTAAGCCTTATCAAGGTTAAGGGAAAAGCTACAAAAGTTATAATGGTTGCCAAATCAATGGTCAACAGAGTATAAATCCTTCATACTTACGAGCAAGAATATTGTAATTAGAATATTCTCCCTTTAAAAAATTACATAATACAGACAGTATTTAGATACAGTTTTCCAAATATTTATTCTCAGGTGAAGTGTTTACCTGGGGGAAAATAAAACAGCAGGACTGGATTAAAATTCCAACAAAAGGGAATACCAAAGTGCACTCTGGGCATGTTTTATTCGGGAGTATGGAGAACAAAAAAAGAAACATGTATAATGCTTAAAAAATAAATACTACTTGCTCAAGACTCACAGTAATTTCGTTCAAGAATTGCATCCATGCAGACATGCAGCTTCAATACAAGCAAAGTGTGTTATCTGTGAAGTTCTGTTTTGGACTTCCACAATACTTGGATTTATAGTTGTGAAAGCTATTCTGTCACGGTGGCCACACAGCATAGCTGGGGCTACAGATGTCCGTCTAGCAAGGCTTTGGGCTGTGGAGAACAGGAGCTTTTCTGTTCCACAGAAAGTGAAGGGGGTTTGTATGTGAATCAACATGTGTCTCTATGCACATATGCATGAGTGTAGACAGGTATGTGAATGCACCTGTGGGTATATGTATGCAGACATGCGACTGCAGCATTGGAAGAGTTAAGACAATAGCTCAGACTCTTCTTCTCAATGGCTTCTGGGAATTCTGTGCATCGGAAATACTCTACCAAGTAGTTTTTTTTAGCAGCACTAGGCCCCAGAGGTCTTTGGGAAAGTCCACACACCACTCCCTGCTGAGGGCCTGGCGCTGGCATTCTTCTCTGGCAGCTTTGTCAGGGTGCCTCTTTTGGGGAACATTCCAGCCATAGCTTGGAACACTCACCTTCCTTGAGAAGTGTGAGGACTGAGCGAATGTAGCAGGATCTGCAAGCATTCCTTACACGCAGGGGCAGGAAGCTTTGCTCACTCAGTGTGTTCCCTTAAAGTGACTGACTAGTGTGTGTTAACTCCTGGCTTAGGGTGATTCCTTAGAATCTTAACTTCTCAACTGTTGATTGACCTCAATCAATTTAACCCTAAAATCTTGTCAGACTCCGCTTCTATTTAAGGCCGTATGGTTGTTGGGGTTTGTTGTTTGTTTTCTTTTAAGATTCAAAATGGCAGAAATGCACACATGAGTATTTGGCCACAAGCCACAGAAGATAGAGAGATTTGAATGAGATGAACGAGATTCAGTATTTTTGTCAAAGCCCTGAATTTGTGTCTGACTCTGTGTCTTGTGTGAAATGTGGTTGTCACCATGGGGCAGATATAACCTGGAGAGTTGGTTAGTCAGGAAGAGGACCATGGAACATTATTTTTATAGACATCTTGGATGATTCTTATGATCAGATAAGTTGGGGAAACTGCTATCGTCTAATTGTCTACTAGGACTATGTATTTCCAAAAGTTGTGAGTGGATGTGTGTGTGCGTAATTGCCAAGGATTTTAAAGTTTTTTAAAAAAATTGTCAAATTTTCCATGTTGGCATCGTTAAACATTTCTTAATGAAAACATCTGTGATTTGTGTAGGGTTGTATGGTTGCAGAGGATTTTCTCTTATATTATCTCATTTGATCCCAATAACAATCCTGTGGGGAGGCTGGCCGCGCTGATCATGCCCACCCCCGCACTGCACGTGGGAAACGGGCTCAAGCATGTGGCTGGTGAGTGGTGGGGCTGGCTTGGAACAAGATCCTTCACCCTGTGGGGCAAACCCAACATCAACCCCAGAGCTTACCACTTTTCCTCTTTGTCCACCCGCTCCAGTCACCAGGCTGATGACTATGTTTCTAACATATCTGATTCTTTGCACATCCATGCCTTTGCATACCTTTTCTCCCTCTGCCTGGAATGTCCTTCCTTCCCTGTCTGCAAACTCATACTCATTCCTTAAGGTGCCTTCCATGAAGCTTTGCTGGATACACTCTTCATCATCCTGCCTCCTACCCAAGCAGAGCTAGTTGCTCTTTCAGCTGTGTTTCTGTCACACTGTATAGATCCCTCTACTGTAAGTTGGGCTCTTATTTAATGTAGGCAAGTTCAATAGTAAGAGCTCAGTAAGGTGCGTCTCTTGCTCCCTGACCTGCCATCACGCCACTTACTCCAAACAGGCAGTGGTTGTAATCATGTTTGAAACAGTCAGTGTTTGTTGGCTAAAGCCATGGGAAGTGTCAGGGAATAATTTTGAGGGTTTTCCAAACATTGCCAAAGGAGTGTTCAGATGGCCAGAAACATGGCCATTAGTATCCTCTAGAAATGGAATTCTTTGAGACTGCTAAGGAACATTGTCTGATAAGAAGTAGAGGAATGTTATGGGATTGTCTGTCTTAGTTTGCTTGGCTGCTATAACAAAATACTACAGACTAGGCGCCTTAACGAACAGAAATTAATTTTCTCACAGTTCTGGAGACTACAAGTCCAAGATCAAGGGCCATCAGGGTTGGTTTATGGTGAGGCCTCTCTTCCTGACTTGCAGAGGTCCACCTTCCTGCTGTGGCCTCACATGGCCTTTCCTTCTGTATGAAGGCACAAAGGAACTTGAGAGCTCTGGTGTCTTGTCATCTTTTTATAAGGACACCAACCTTTTTGGATTAGGGCCCCAGCCTTATGACCTAATTTCATCTTAATTATCTCCAAATACAGCCACATTGGGGGTTAGGGCATATAACGTATTAATACTAGGGAGACACAGTTCAGTCTATACAGGTGCTATATACACAAAGTCACATATTTAGTAGTTTCCTTGTTGGAATTTAAGTGTTTATCAAGGAAAATTTGAACTATGGGTGATTTTCATGTTAAATTCACTTTAGTTCATAGCCCCAGATTAGAGGTGACTATCTGATATGACCTTTAGGTCACATTATTGCTATTTCTTTATATAAATTTCTCCCACACTGGACTTCTAGGGAGGGTAGGTCTGAGTCTTATTCATTTTTATCTGCCAATTGATAATTATTGGATGAACTTTTAGGGGGAAAAATCCTCTTCTCACCATCTATATCTGAATGCAATCAAATATATTGATTATAGTTCTAATTCCCATTCTCGTATGTTTGCAGCCACCACTGGTCCAGGCAATCTTCAGCGGTGATCCAGAGGAGATACGGATGCTCATCCAAAAGATTGAAGATGTGAACACTCTGGTAAGACATGCTGAGGTTTACCCTGGAGCAGGGAAGGGCTCTTAACCCTTTCTGTACCGTGGACTCCTTTAGTATCTGGTGAAAGCTCTGGACTGCTTCTCAGAATACTGTTTTTAAACCCATAAAATAAAATATATAGGGTTAGAAAGGAAATTGATTATATTGAAATAGAGTTATCTAAATGTTAAAAAATCTAATTTGTGATATAATATATATGCTTCTTCATCAACATATTTAAACAATAAGATACAACAGGAGATCTAATAATGACCATGATTTAAAATTAGTGATGAGCATAATAAATATTTTGAGTTGTCTGCAACAACTGTTAATGTGATATGAATATACCTGTGATTTCTATTGGTGACAGAAGAAATCGAGGTACTGCTGATGCTGCTGTGGTTTGTTGCCTATATTCATAATGGAAGGAAATGTAATTTTCAATTAGAAGTCAGTGAAAATAAAGATGTGATATTTAGAACCCATGCCTTGCAGCAGGGGTTGGCAACCTATGGTCCGAAATACATTTTTTTTCTACAGGCTGCCTGCTAAAAATGGTTTTTATTTTTTAAACGGTTGGGAAAAGTCAAGATAAGAATGTTTTGTGATGTGAAAATGGCACAAAATTCAAATTTCAGTGTTCACAAATAAAACACTGTAGGAACATGGCCATGCTCATTCATTTACATGTTATCTGTGGCTGCACTTGTACCACAACAGCAGAGTGGAGTAGTTGTGACAGAGACTATAGGTGGTCCACAAAGCCAAAAATATTTACTGTCTGGCTCCTTAGAGAAAAAAATTGCTGAGCCATGTCCTAGAGGGTCCCTGAACCTGGGATCAATACTGTGAACTAGGCATTTCATGTACCCTCTGAAGTCATAAGTAATAAATGTGTGCACTTGTGCACATATATATTTTTCTGTGAAAAGGCATTTCATCAGATCCTTAAAAGGATCTGTGACCTCCAAAAGATTAAGAACCATTGAGTCTGGAAGGTCTTGTAACAAACTAACCAACCTGCAATTAAAAAAGGAAAAAAAGATCAAGTCAATGATTTACCTTTTTCATAATTTTCAAAATTTTTCATAATTTTCTAGACCTGGATTGAACAAGCAATTACCTACAGTACATACTACTGATTCTCTTAATGTACTTCAATTGCAAAAAACTCAAGTGTACCAGGGAGAGGAGTTCTCTTTAAAATGTCTAGTGTTAGGTAGAAACAACAGAAAGCATCAAATACATCTTCAGTCTAAGAGGAGCTTTGCCACAGGAAAGTGAATTATGTCTAAAGGTGTATCCCTATCCTGTTGGCTGAATGCTTTATTCCAAAGGAGAGTCATTTGGTGCGGTTGTTGTCCCATGGCATTGCAGGTTGGTGTGGTTTTTTGCAAAAGCTTTTGGCAGCTTCTCCCCTACTGGCACTGAAAACAATAGGACAATGTTTTGTGACATTTTTTTGCAAGGCAAGCACAAAGGAGGCCAGGGACAGACTACTCAAGAAGGCAGCTGGGCATTTGTCCAGAGCCTGTGGGATGTGACCTGTGCTTCTGAGACGAGGCCAGGCAAGCAAGCTTGCTGTCCAGTGTTCTGACATCAGCAGAGTCCACCCAGCCTGTGTTGTGGCTATGGACCAAGCCCAGGCAAGCCTAGGGCCAAGTTGCTATCTTTTTCTGGCAATTATGAGCAAATAGAAATTTTGTTCCATCACTCATACCAGAAAAGATTGTAGTGGCCTCTGGATGGCCTTGATTTCCCTTTGGGAATGTGACACAGTTGTTGGCTTGTAAAGGTTAGGAAAGACTAACTGTAGTTTTAAATCCAACTGTATCACTGAAGTAGTTACATAGATCAACTACTGTAACACATAGACCTCTAAGTGTATGAATGGACGTTCGATACATGACATTTAGTTCTCCTATAAACAGATCAGAGGGGTGGCCCTTTTCTGCACAGGGTCCCAAGTATCAACATTCGATTTCTAAGATCCCTGTACAGGTTGTCTGCAGTCCTGCCAACACAAAGGGCAAAAAGAGCATGGAGGAAAAGCACAGAAGGATTTTTACGGGTCAGCTTAGAAGTGGCATAGGTCACCTCTGGTCATATTCCCTTGACCAGAACTCAGAACTCAGCCACACCTGATTACGAGGAAGGGTGGGGACTTAGTGTAGCTGTGTGTCCCCAGAGAGTCTGAGAACATGGATTTTGGTGAGTAGTTAGCAATCGTGGCCACATCAGGTTTTCATCTTACAGAATTCTAGGGAATTCCAGTGATACCACTATTTGCCTGTGAGGTGTCTTATTCATTCCACAGTTATTTACTGAGCTGAGACTCTGTGCTAAGTGCTAGGGACACAGCGATGAGCTCTTTCCCTTCCGGGGCTGCTACAGCATAGCAGAGAGGTCAACAAAGGAGAAATCACACTGTGATGCATTTTTGAAAGGGAAAATTCCAGATGCATGCTACTAGGGGGTAGGTTATTCATGGGAATCTGATACCGTGATTCCTGAACTGAGGCCTGGGGACACGTAGGAATTTGCTTTGTATTTGTGGGCTGCTGGGGAAGGGGATGGAGGGAGGGAGAAGAATAGATGAATGCATGAGAGATTGAATGAATGAATGAAAGAGTGCAAGGAAGGCCTGGTTCCCCTCACACTTCTTTTAATTCCCCCTCACCTCCCCCACCCCCTCCCTCAGGAGTATATAAAGGAGATCATTTGACCCCATGCTCTCATCAGGTGTGTCATCTTAAACACTTTGCTGGGGCGGGTTAGGTAGTTTAGGGGAAGTGGTTTTTAGCAAAGGGCATTAAGTTGTCCTAATTCTCACTTCCTTTCCGATGTTTTCTCTACCACCCACCCCCAACCAGCCAAAGAAACCTACCTCTTCTCTCAGCTCCCACAGTTGTTGTACCTCACTGATCACTTTTGACGACTGCTTGAGTTATTTATATCTGTGTTTTAGTTTTGAAGAACTACAGTTGACCCTTGAGTAATGTGGGCTTGAACTGCGCAGGTCCACTTATACATGGATTTTTTCAACCAAACATGCATAGAAAATATAGTATTCCTGGGATGTCAAACCCATGTATATAGAGACTTTTGTGTATATGGGTTCCACAGGGCCCACTGGGGGAGTAGAGTATGTGTGGAATTTGACATACATGGGGGCCCTGGAACCACCCCCTGTGTATACCGAGGGACGACTGTATGTGCTTGATGTCATGGTTACAATCTCTTTTGGTCTCATTTGCTCAATCACCTAGTCCAGTCCTTGTAGCACATGTTGAGTGAATGACTCAACCCCATTTTATTGCTTTTGTTGAGCCAATTTGTGTTGACCTATATTATATTTCTTCCAACAAGGACAAATTGTTGAACAGAGGAAGTATCTGTTGTAGTTAGTGACCTTCAGTTCTCAGTTGTATGATTGGCACTTCTCTTTGTAAGATTGAAGATCTCTAGATTGATTTGGGGAGCCACTGAAGGACCAGGAGGGGTGCTGTGAGTCTTTCTGAGGTTTCTGTGACTAGTGGCATGCCAGGGCCTGGAAATATGGGATGACCTTTGTACACTCTGAAATCCATTTAAATCGACCCAGGTATGGCTGATAGTTAGAAAGATTTTAGAAGCCTCCATCTGACTAACCAAACTGAGCTCAAGGTGGAGAATAGCACCTGAATTCAGAATTTCAAAGAGTGCCGAGAACCACAATTTGAACTGGATAAAGGCATCTTTGGGATTATGTCATGACAACTTGACATCAAGAGGACAGACTTACTGCACCACAGTGGAAGAGGGAAGAGACAAATTGGCACCTGTCAATGGCAAGTGACAAAGATGTGGAGGGAGCCATGCCATGTGAGGAGTGGTTGAAGAGACTGGTGATGTTTTAGACTTGGAAAGGATGAGAGAGCTGTCCCAAACAGTTCAAGTTAACACTGTCAAGTTATAAGGGAACTAGACTTGTCATTATGTCATGTGGTTGTAAGCTGCAGAAAATAGGATTTCAGCTCAGAAGATAGAAATAGCTTAATAGACAGAGCTGTCTGAAGAAGTGATAAGTTGACTTGCTAAGTGATATGCTCCCCGAAAGACCATTAGGCTGGACATTCTCAAGGTGACTAATATTAGCACATATGGCCCTATTCTCCTATTTTGTGCCTTTGGCCAACATCACTAATGGTTCATGGCACTTTTTTCCATTGAAAAGTTCAATAAAAATTTCTCAGGATTGCACTATTAAATTGAGGTTGGCATATAGACTAGAAACCCCCTTTCCATGCCTAGATTTGATGATGTTTAAAGACTCTTGCAACAGTGAAAGACTATAGTTCCAAGATTTGAGTCTCATGTGATAGCAAACACATGATGTTTATTTCTTTTTAAAGAGTTTCACTAACACAAATACACACACACATATGCATACACATACACACCCATTATCATACCAAGTAGAATTAACAATGTTTCCTCAATATCATTTAGTATTCCGTGCATGCTCAATTTTATTTTGTTTCAGTAGTTTTTAAAAAGTTATTTTACAGTTGAGTAGTCCCCAGGTTGATTATTTTAATCCATCTATTTTATACCACAAACTAATTTTTTAAAGCTCTTAAGGTTTATTATTTGCTCTAATAGGATTTGACACAATATATTGGTGTATTTTGCTTATTTTCTCCAGTTCCAAGATGGGAAGGGATGATATGTGAATATAATGGAATAAATCTTCAGGTGAAAGCTAAGCTTATGTCGGTAAAGAACTTACAGTAAACAAAAGGGTGAAAACCGTTAAAGCTTCAGTTTTTTACTTCAGGAATTAATTAAAGTAATGGTGGTCTGCTAGTCTCAAGACCCAAGTAGGAAAAAAAGAAACTGACATTATGTGATGAGGGGACTTTAAAAGAAGACAAATTAACAATAGTAAACTTCTAATTTGTTGGTATTTATGTGTGTGTGTGTGTGTTTGTGTTGGGATATTGTAGCATTACTTTAAA